AAAAACCTTTACTCTGTTAAGATAGAAAGTACACGTTTAATCAAAACTGTCCACATAGTCAAACTGAGTTATTGTAAATTCCTGAATTTGTACTTTTTGTTTTGCTTATTCAATTACAAAAAAAAGTGTTAATATATAAAATCAGAGCTGGATATCAAACCTTCACTCCTGTTTTGTTATCGACTGAAAATCTTCTTGCTGCCTTTGACAATAAACTATTTAAATTAGGGCTGCAATGAAGGATTATTGTGTTTCTCAATCTGGAGATTGTCATTTCCATTTAATTTGTCCATATAACAATATTACATAATGAAAAATACTCATAAATTCCTACAGATCATTATGAGGTCTGGTTTTGTCTGATAGTCAAAAATCCAAAGAGAAAACATCAAATCTGATAAGCTAGAAACAGCAAACTCTCAGTTACACAGACACACTGACATCCCGCTCTCCATAGGGGGATGTTAGTGTGGGACAATGGATCTGTGCCAATGCCTTATGATTCAGCAAGAGAAAACTGAATTCCTTCTTAAAAGATGATTTACTCTGAAATAAAGGTGTTCAACAGAAAGCCACAATCCAACAAACTTGAGCCAGCTGAAAACAGGATTCAGTGAGAGAGCCTTTGACTTTTATTCAGATCAAGAGCTTAACCAGTGATAATGTCTTTAATCAGTATGATCATTTTAGATTGATGTTTAGAAATAGTAGTTGTTGATTTATTTAGAATGAAAGCCAATCAAAACAATTATTGATGATTTTAATGCTTTACCTTGCTGCTTGCTACTGTACTGTAACCTTTTTAAACTTCTATATAAAATTCCGGAAAAGGTTTAATACTCTCTGTCTTTATTGAGTTAAGTATTGATGTTATTAATTCTCATGAGTTTAGTGATATTGTTCAACAACCAACCGTGTTAACAGTAGACCAACCTACTCCACAGGGTCTCAGAGAAGTAAAACAGACAGTGGTAACCTCACGGTGTCAACAAGCTGTCTGACTGCAGAAACCTAACGGTGACAACAGGAGCAGTACTTTTTTGATTGGGCTTGTTGCTCGGGTGAATTCCATACAAACCGGCTGGCTGTTGAGAGGGAAGGTGATCTTTAGAAAGTTATACCAGAAAATATTTTATATAAAATATCCAGCTGTTTACGTATTACATAATGCAGACTGCCATTTGAATTTCCAATCCTTAATAACAACTTATGTCAACTACTGTGCAAAGCAAATCGGGTAAATGGCCAGTGTCACAGCTTTTATTGGTTATTTCAGACAAAATGTAACACTTCCTCAAAGAGCCAGAATATACTGGTTTATAAAAATATCTTGGTATAGTAACATCTGAGGATATAAGGAGGTAGCTGTCTATAACTGCAGGTTGTTATTATTTGGGAGGTTTTGGGGTCTTATCCTGAATTAATAATGAGGGAGGTCTGCAGGGAACTCTGTTCGCAGGTTCTTGGTAGTCAATTACTGAGTGAATATCTCCGCTGAAAAACCTCAAGCAGTGTTTGGAGCTTTAATATGTTTCAAATATGCCACCTTAGTGTGAGAGGTTAAGCTTTATTCCTATGTCCAGGGGTTAGCATATCATGGCCTTCAAACATACATTATCATTAATTTTCAGTATATCAACTAATTAACTGACTAATCACTGCAGCGTTAACCTTTAAATATACACTGTCCCAGCTGGAGGACACTTGGTAGTGCTTCTGTAGGTTCCTTTTATTCTTCAGAACAATGCTACTACTACAGTCCTGAGAACACACACACAGGGTGACTCTCCTGGTGGGTTACCGGCTGACATCACCCCCCACAGAGAATACCTTTTGTTTTCAAGCTACCTGGTTAATGTCAGTCACTATGCTGCAGCTTGTTTTTGGTTTACTAAAAAGCCATTTAGACTAAATGACCTTATTATCTTAATGACCACAGCTAATAGAGTGGAGACTAGCTGTGTTTATTGCAGAGTCTTTTAATGGCACTGATGAGAAACTCTTTCAGAAGACATATCTAATAAATCCCTGCATGCTCGGTGCTACATAACAAGCCGTCCCAGGCTGCGTGTCTGTGACCTTTACTGTCAGAGACTAATGAGGGTTGATGCGATGGCTGCCCGCTCTGTGTCCTGCTACATGGCTCACTTCCTGAACACACTGAGGATTGCTACAAATGTCAGGAGGTCCCACAAGGCCTCTCTGTGGAAAGTACAACAAAGTCTTCATTACGGTGAATTTACTCATGTAATGGGTTGGTGTGACAAACAGAAGAAGTTACTTTTATGTCATGACATCAAAAAGCTGTTAAACTCAGTAAAGTGTTGCTGGTGTTCTGAATACTTAATGTTACACAGCCACTGAAAAGAAAAGACTACATGAAAAGCAAGCCCCAAAATCCAGTCAACTAAAATCAAACTGCATTGGTTTAACTATGATCAGTGGGAATGATGCTCCATTTGAACTGGAGCTCGACCAATAAGTGGCATCTCCGTATTATTACCATGAATGCAACAGAAGTTCCCTCATGTGGTGTTTTGATGATGGTGGTGGAGACGCTGTCCAGACCACTGTCTGACCAGAGACCACTCTCATCATGAGAGAAATGCTTCATCATAAGATAAAGGTGATCGCTCAGAAAAACTTATACTGGTCTGCAGTGACCCTTCCCTCAAAGGGCCATGACGCACCAAGCAGATGGTCAGTCATCAGCCAGTGTTGGGCTGTTAATGAGCATCTATCAC